CAAAATTTTTTAAAGTTCTAAACACTTCTAATCTATAATACAGGTTTTAAATGATTTGCAGGAAAGCCACACGTATTAGTAGTAGCAGTAACAAAATTAAATAAATGACAAAACGTAATTTGAATTGCGGGGTGATCTTTTTTTACGACCGAGAGGAATTAAACACGTTTTCAATGTTTTTCAATAAAAGTTTATCGATTTATGGATACAGGAAATTAATTTTTTTTTTAAAGTCAAAAAGTCATAACCCTAAGGATTAAACGCTGTATGATCATACAACGCTGAAAACAATGAATTGTAAAACTTTTTTTACTGTTTCACAGAATATTTAGAATGTTTCTATGTTAAAACGCATAAAAATATTCTTTTTTTGTTGAGCTCAACAACTCGAGTTCTTGTGCTAAAATAATAAAATTTTTCATGAAAAAAAAAATTAATAATTCATTGCTACACTTAGAATTTTACTTAAATAAAAAACTCAGCAAAATCACGATTTAGATTAATATAATTTTCTTTTATTTTCTTAATAAAAAAAAAAAAAAAACAAGATTGCTCAAAACTCTAACAAAAATCAATATTGCTGAAAACTAAAACAAAAATAAAAAAGTATAAATTGAAGCAGGCCCTATGAGAAGCAGACCCTATGAGGAGTGCCGTTGGTGCGCCGTCGATGTGTCCATAAGATGTTAGGGACAAATCAATAAAAGTTTTTCTTTTAATTTTGCATGTCATTTACTTAAAGGGTATAAAACGAAAAAAGAATTTAATACTACCAATTATCTCTATCTGTTTTATATGGGTCGAATTAGTTCAAGCCGTGTTCTGACGTAAAATTTTTTTTCTTCATAATTATCGGTTTTATAAATGCAATAAAACAGTATGTAGGATAAATTAGGGTAAAAGAAGCACCTTGGTATATGAGTATACTTGAAGATTTCTTAGATGTAAGCAGTAAAGCTAGAGTTACTTTGAAATTTTTGAGTCGGCTTTTGTGGTGATAACAGGAATCAGTACAATTAACGCAAATTTATATGCAGTAATTAGTGGCTATCATCTAATTAAAACGCTGTTAAATTTCTTAAATAATATCATCACGCGTGAATGATTTTGCTCAAATTACTTGGTGTTTATCATTGAAATGTGTAAAGTCCTAAAATAGCATTGGTTTTAAATTAAAAAAACATAGTAAAATAAATTTAATATTTTAACAATACTAAATACTTTTGTGTAATTTAAATTTAAAAAAATTGAATTTTTATAGTTCAAAATGTTTGATTTAATAAAGTTAAAAAAACAAACTTTTTTTTTTTTTTTTTTGCGGAAAACACAATAGTGTTATTTCAATTTGATCTTAAATTTAATCTTTTAATTAAAAGTTTTGTTAATGACGAATCATTATATTCCAAAAACTAGTTCTACTTACCAGGTTGGTATTTTTTTACTAACTTAATGTTATTTTTTAGAGCTGATTTAAAGTGCTCATATATTACCAAGTGGTAATACGAGCACTTTTGCAATTTTTTTAAAACCTCTGTGTTTTTAAAAAAAAATTCGGGTGCCCAAATATCTAAGTGAATCTAACAATTGTTTATTTTCAAAAATCCATCATATTTATTTTTGAAGTTATTCAAATTTTCGCTTAAAGTGCTCATTTTACCCTAATATACTGTATTTTTTGTATGTATCATATTACCCTAATATACTCATCATCATTATACTCTGTGTATTTCTTAGCATACATCTTTTAAAGATTTATAGATTTTAAAATAACTTTATTAAGAATGATTTATCAATTTAGTACGCAACTTTGGATTATTTCATTTTAAATTTGTTTAAAATGTTACGTTTTTACAAGGTGTTACTTCTTTCTTTGTGTGTATATTTCCGCGTTCTGAATCATGTTGAAGTTGTGGTTATTTATAATAACAAAAAAATTATGTTTTCCAAGTAACTATCCGTAATATTTACGATATTTAAAATATAATATTTTTCTAGTAGGGGAAAGTGTGGTACAGTGGATCGAGGGGCACAGTGAATAAGGGGCATTTTCTCAAAGATTAGGATTTTGTTCATCATGATAATGTAATCATTTTATGCGCTCACATATCAGCCATCTTTATTTATAATAGTTACCACATAATTAATGACTACCGGTCTGTGATTGGTAATTTTTGTTTTTAGCTAACTAAAGTAACTATTCCACAATCATGGAAAAAAAAAACCTAACTGCTGGAGAAGATTGGTTGTATGGTTTTATGAATAGATTTAAAAATCTTTCTTTACGTAGACCAGAAGCAACTAGTTTGTCACGTGCAACAAGTTTTAATAAAACAAATGTTGCTGAATTTTTTAAAAATCTGGAAGAAATTTTTAGAAAATATAATTTTAATCCGAATGACATCTATAATGCTGATGAGACAGGTTGTTGTACGGTACAAAAAGTGGGGAATATAAAAGTAATTGCCTGTAAAAAAGATAAGCAAGTTGGAAAAATTACTTCAGCAGAGAGAGGTACTCTGGTTACAATGCTTGCCGCAGTAAATGCAATAGGAAATGCTATTCCACTATTCATGGTGTTTCCTAGGATGCATTTTAAAGACTTGATGTTACATGGTGCTCCACCTGGAACAGTCGGGACAGCTCACGTGTCAGGTTGGATGACAGCTGACAGTTTTTATTTATTTATGAAACACTTTATTACATCAACAAAATGTTCAAATGACCATCCCGTTTTATTGATTTTGGACAATCATAAGACACATCTTTCTATTAAGACAATTGACCTAGCAAAAGAAAAAGGAGTTGTCATGTTGACATTGCCACCTCATTGCAGTCACAAGCTACAACCTTTAGACAGAACTGTCTATGGACCATTTAAAGCCTTTTATAATCATGCTGCAAATTCTTTTATGGTGAACAATCCAAGTAAACACATAACAATTTATGACATTTCAAGCTTGGTTGGTGTTGCTTTCCCTTTAGCATTCACGCCTAAAAATATAGTGTCAGGATTTCAATGTACAGGGATTTTTCCATTTAATCCAATGATTTTTAGCAATGAAGACTTTCTTAGCTCTTATGTCACTGATCGGCCAATAGAACAATTGGATGTTAATTTCCAAGTTCAAAATCAAATGACTCCATCATATCATAATGTTGAACTTTCAACTTCCAACTTTAAAGAATTCATTATACCAGGATCTTCAACCACAAAATTATCCCCTGAAAAAATAACCCCTAACCACAAGCACCACCAAGAAAAGGCAGAGGTGGAAGAAAAAAAGGAAAAACATTAGTTTTAACAGACACTCCTGTAAAAAAAGGGCTTCGTCAAACAGAAAGATATATGTTTACAAAGAAAAATAAGACTAAGCAGAATTGTAAAAAACGATTGCAGCTAAAAGTTGCAGCCAAAAATGCTTGCAAAAAGATACCTTGTGTAAGTCAATCTAATGAGGCAGGTTTCTTGAGTTGTGACTTAACAGATAGTGAAATGGATAGAAGTAGTGGTTTTACAAATGAGACCTCTCAAAACTAAAAAAAACTGATTCCCAGTGATTACGTTTTAGTTAAACTTGCTACTAAAAAAAAATTAGTTATTTATGTTGGGAAAATTATTAGCACTAAGCACAGTGAAGACATGGATAAAGGTTTTTTTGAGATATTTCGTTTTTTCAACGAAAAAAGTCTTCATTGACCTTATTCTTCCTACAGCTGATCATATTTCTAAAGTGTCACTTCAAGATATTCTTGGAAAATTACCCAGACCACTACTACATGGAGGGACTGCTAGAGTTCCTCGTCATTTTATCTTTCCTGTGGACTTAACAGCTTATGATGATGCACTTTGTTAATTTGTTTTATTTTTAAAAATTGTTGTTATTTTAGATTGTTGAATAAGTTTTGTTATCAATAAAGTTCTTTATTGATAACAAAACTTATTCAACAATCTTATCTTATCAACAAACTTTCTTATCAACAAACTTTTTATATATAGTATTTGTGTTATTAAAATAATGGAAAATGTTATTGGAGGACTTGCAGTTGGTTTTAACGCCACAAAAGATATTTCTGAAATCTTCAGCTTTTTTTGAAACTACCAAAAAAAGAGAGGAATAAATACATAACGCAGTTACTTTTGCGTAGAAATATTTTACAGATATCGTTAGCAAAAACTTTGTGCAAAAAATGAACCGAAATGTTTTGTACTAATTTTGGTACTTTGGCAATTTTCACTTTAAAGTGCAAACTAGAAAGTATATTTCCAAACTTCAGTTACAGCCGGAGGCGTCTCGAGGAGAAGAGGGGGGCGTAGGGACTGTCTAGTCTCCTCACAAAATTTACTAGTCGGCATATTGGACACCGGAGTGGCAAAATTGAATCTAAAGTTGATAGTCGGCAAATGTCAGCCGACAAAAAAAGGAAAAAAGCTTTTCGATGCCTTAGTCGGCAAAAAGCAGGTACGTCGACCCCCCCCCCCAACCTTCTTTTATTTATTAAACCTCTTCGGGACGGCCTTAGTTACAATTTGAGTATATTTTTTAGTCGAATATGCAAATTTAAAATACATCTTTTTCCGACATCGAAAAGTCTTTTTTTTTGTCTTTATCTTGTCATGAAAAGGCATAAAAAATGCGTCTTTAAGACGTCTTTGTTTATCAATTATGCACTTCTAAAAAAGTGTTTTTTGCTCGGGGTCGGAACGACTTTTTTGTCATACTTATTAGTATACTATAGTATCCTATACACTATAGTATTTCTACTTTTCATATATGAAAAGTTGTTTTTAATAAATGAAAATGATAATAGCTCTTCTTACAAAGTATGAACAAAAAGCTCTTAAAGATGCCGAGATCAAAACTTCTTTTAGATGTCAATATAAAAGAGGATGGTTTTCTACACCTTTTATATGTTTAAACATAGGAGAATAATTTATAAATAAAACAACAGTATTGTTCAACAGAATATTTTTTCATCTTTCTCTTTCTTTTCTGATTCTAGAGCGAGCTCTGTTTTTTGGAGTTGTTGAATAAAATTAACTATTTCACGTCGAGAAATCCTTTCATACGAGCTGGTTACGACTTCTAGCTGGTTACGACATCTAAAAAACGAGTGAACATAAAAACAGCCTATTGCTTGAATGTAATACAAAAAAGCAAATGAAACTTGATTAGGAGAGTGGAACACATTAGACTTACCGACTATTAATCTGATCCTTTTAACCCCCTCATGTTTTCAACGCGGTCCTTTCTTTTTGAACCAACTAGGTTGGATTGGGACAGGAGTCAAATCGTAAACAGTCTAAAAATTTGGATAAAAGTATTAATCAAAGCTCTATTTTAGCCTGAAACATAATGTTGCTTTACCTAACAACATAAAATCATAAAAACTGGCGATATCATTAGCAACACAGATGAAATTCACACAAACAAAAATGAAGACTAGAAAGCTGCAATGATGTTTAGATATAAGAAAGTGTACCTTTCCAGTATCATTTTTACTTGGTCTTTTGTATTCAAACCAAAAGTTTTGAAAACAGTTCTAAAGATAAACATGTTGTCATTATATTTGTGTAGACATCGGTTGATTCCAAGGATTGCAAATTTATTTATATTCCTTTCTGCAGCGTTAAAATCTAATTTTTCAAAATATTCGTAAACCGATATATTTTTTTTAAATCACCTTTTCGTACCAATTGTCCTACTTTATTAACTCAATTGATCATTTGTTTTCCCCCATCCAAGATGGTAACAACTTGCGTTATTGTTATTTTGCATAATCACGTGACTTTCCAACTGCGAGGATCAGAACGTAACAAAGATATCGTAATTACGATACTGTGGGTTAAAACCCATCTTTGTTAAGTTCTATTGGCAATAATTATTTTTAATTTTCTTTAGCAAATAATGATTTCCTTATTAACAACGAAAGTTGTTAATAAGCAAATAATAATTTGTTAATTATAATTATAAAAAGCAAATTATGATTTACTTATTAACAACTTAAGTTGTTTCGCAGTGAGAAACGTTAATGAATTTTCCTCTCTCCTTCCTTAAAGAAAAAAAAAATTTCTACCAAGTGTTGTTTAATTTAAAATTTAAATGAAAATTTTCTCATTTCTTTTTTTTAAAGGTCATCGATATAAAAGCCGTCTTTTCTACGTCTAATTAACGACGTACAACCGATTGGCGTCTTTTCGACCTCGTGGAAAAGACGTCTTTTCAAAAGACGTCTTTTCCACGTCTTTATTTAGGGTGATTATAAAAAGACATAACAAGTCATAAAAAAGACGTCTTTTATTCGTCTAAAGATATCTTTTTTCCCACTGGGTTATTTTATTTAACAACTTTTATATATAACATCAGAACTTTTAACAACAGTAACATCAGAATTTTTTTAAAACAGTTTAGTATAATTATATAATTATATAAGTATAATTTCATTATAATTAAAATTTGTCCACCTTCAACATTTAAACATATATTGTTTGCCTTGAACTAAATATAAAACAGAAATTTTTTAAAACTTTTACATAACTCTTTAATAACTCCAAAAAACAATACTTACAAAAAATTTGCTTTTTTTATTTAATTTATTTATGAATCTATAACTGAGAGCAATTATAACTGAGAACAATTATAACTGAGAAAGTTACGTTATTGCTTTTAAGCTATTTCCTTGTTATTTATACAAAATAACGTTTTGGAAAGTTATTTTGTATAAATATATTTTGAGAAATAGATAACACTAACGCTTATCAAATGAGCAAAAAAAAAGGGGTATAAATATAATTTTGAAATCTTTTTGTGAATTGGTGAATGTTTGTAGAATTGTACGTTTGTTATTTCAAAAATTTAAATTAATTATGGCATTTATGAATTATTAATCACGTATTTGAATGTAATCATCAAACTATCGCTGTCTAGACCGATGTTTTTTGAAAGTATATAAAAATACAAATAAATACAACTTATATGCTTTTTATAATTTAATTGGTTGTGTTTTATATTTAAAGTTATCCTGTTCACGCTCTCCGCTACTCTGAGTCGAACATTTTATGATCAAAAACATATGTAAACAAAAAATTACAAAGAGTACCTTAAAATATTTAACATATATAATAAGAAACAGTAAAAACTATATATATATATATATATATATATATATATATATATATATATATATATATATATATATATATATATATATATATATATATATATATATATATATATATATATATATATGTATATATTTCATCAATAAAGACTCATCAGAAAATCTTTTCTGATAAGTCTTTATTGATGAAACACAGTGTTAAATGAGAAAAAATTTTGCTAAGTGATTTTCTACTAATTTGTAATTTCTCTATTCTTTTAAGAACATTGAGCACTCTTTTTGTAGAATACATTTTAAATTGTTTAAATATATATATATATATATATATATATATATATATATATATATATATATATATATATATATATATATATATATATATATATATATATATATATATATATATATATACATATATTTATATATATTTATGTAGATATTTATATATATTTAAATATATATATAATTGTAACGTTTTATATGACAGATGTTTTTTTAGTTGTATTTAAATTTGTTACACATTTTATTTTAAAATGAATCCAAGCTTTTTGATACAATAGCGTTAATAATTTACCGCATACAAGCGTTTTTCAGTTTTATTTTAGAATTTTTTTTCGTTTTATTTATAACAATAGCATGACCTTTCAACTTTTTATTAATGTCTTGTTGGTAAATTTTGTCGTATATTATGTATCATCAGATATTATTGTTGGTATGCTTATTTCTTTTACATCTAATGACGTTAATGCAAAAACATACGCGGGAGCAGTTAGTCGCGTTGTTGATGATATAAACAATAACGATGAAATACTCAATGGCACAAAATTAATTTATTATATAGCCGACCCTTCTTGTAATGATCGTGATGGTCTAGGGGCAAGTGTAACCCTATTTAAAAACTATAGTATAGATGTGTTTATAGGACCACCGTGCAGCGAGTCTTGCTTATCAAGTGGACTTTTATCTAGTTATGAAAAAATACCTATGATTTCTTTCGGATGTTCCTCTAATCTCCTTTCCAACAAAACCAACTACCCTTACTTTGCAAGGACAAAACCATTTGCCAGAACTAGCTCAGTATACACGCCAAAAACTTTCTTACAAATTTTAAAATATTTTTCATGGAAACACGTTTGTTTAATACAATCTGATAATGATATTTACTCTCCAATGGCGCAAAGAATTTACGAAGAACTTACTTACAAAGGCAACATATCAGTAGAGTTAAAAAGTTACTACCCAAACTATGTTGATTATTTGAGCAAGAAAAATATTTTGATTGGATTGCAAAATAAATGCAGAAGTAAGGTTATATTATATGTACATTTTTTTAATTATTTAAATAACAGTATAAAATTAAATTAAATACGTTGCTATAAACTTGAACTACACTTTTAAAATGAAACTGTTAAACCTAACTGTTTATTTTTTATACATAATGTTAGAGTTGTTGTAACTTTACAGAACATTGTACGATATACTATAATTTACTAAGTATACTAATATACTGCCATGATATAGTATATTTAGTAAATTATAGTATACCAGGATGACTTAGCTCCAAACCAGCCTATACAACAATTATGTTGAAATGAAAAAACTAGACTCAAAGTTTAAAACGTCTTAACAAAAGCCTATTAAGTTCTGTGCACTTAAATTTTTAAGTACAGTATATTGGTGTTTGCTAAGAAACTCTGCATAAATAATTTTTTAACATAAACTAATTTTTTTCAACTTTGTTGTATAAGCAGGTTTGGAACCTAACCATCCACTTACTATACAACAGGCTGCGCTGATTTCATTTTTCTCAAGCGGATGACATAAACACAGTAGGAAAGTCTTGTATTTCAATATATACTTTTGTGTCAAAGTTCTTGCTAAATTGTTTGGTCAAAGTTTGTAATTAGCTTTGTAATAATCATTAGTAATAAATGCTGTCTTTCCTTTTTTTTTGGACAAGAAAAAAGTTGTTGGGAATTATACCAAATAAAAACAAAGTACTGGATAAGTAAGACACAGGATACGTTTTAACAGAAAATCTTATTTAAAAAAATCGTGATCTATAATCTGTAAGTAAAGTATTGTAAAGTAAAGTTAAATATTTAAACCATCCGATTGTTCGATTATTTTGCTAATTTATTTTTAGCTTTTTAAACTCTCGTCCGTAGAGACTTTTTTTATTATTTATAAAAAAGCAAAGTAGATAAAATTTTAAGTGTTTATAAAAAGCAAAGTATTTATTTTTTATTTTAATTTATTTTTATTTTATATATAAATTTTGTTTATTAGTTTTTTTATATTAAATATTTTATATTACTATTTTTTTTTTTTTTTATTATATTTTAAATTAATTATAAATTTATTTAATAAAACTGTATAATAAATAATTTATGTAATAAAATCATATAATAAATTTCATAATTATATTATTTTTTCTTTAAAAATTACTTATTCTTAAAATAATGTAAGAAACACGCTGAAAATAAACAAAACTGATTAGAATTTATTCAATATTTTTTGAATTTGATTTATTCAAGTTATTTTGAAATACTTTTAGTTTTTTTAATCACTTTTTTAATCACTAGTTAATTTTTAATCATTTTTAGAAATAATATTATATATTATTACTCGATGTAGTTAAGGCAATTTACAAATTCTTTTAATTTGAAATTAGCATAATTTTATCAGCGTATTATGTCCAAACAATGGCTTTACATGTTATAATTTTTATTGCTTCAGGTTTATTTTAATAATTATTTATTTTTTTTATATATTATTTTCAAAACCTTTTTACTACTCCTAATAGTGAATCTAAAGAACACCATTTTGGAGTCTTTAGATCAATTTCCCTCATCGGCGTTAACATGAACTAAGTTAAAATCCTTTGAAAAAGTGCCTTAACCCACTATAGATCCAAGTTCTAATCGGTTCTGACGTATATTATCTAAATGTAGTTGTCGAAATACAATATTTCTATCAATTTTCACAAAAAACTACAAGAATTCTGACCAAGAAAGAGCTTATAATTTAGAAAAATTGCCAATAAACGATCAGAACAGATTATATTATTAAACTGTGACGTTCATTTCACCTAAAAAACGTATATATTTAAAATCTTATTCAAATTTAAACAAAGGTTTGTGATTTTAAGAAGATTTAAAAGAAAAAAAGAATCTTCGGTTTGTTTGTTTTTTTGCTACAAACATTTACATTTTATGATACCGCAAAATTTTTCATTGTAATTTTTTTTGTCTTTTCGTAATTCACTGACCTGATCATTTAGCGGAATTATGTCGTAGTCAACAAAATGTCATACAGACGCTATAATGTTTTAAAATTGCCTAAACTACACAGAGTTGTTAATTTCTTTTAGTTATTTTGTTTTCAATTTTAGTTCACCACCGCAAAGTTTTTTCAAGCTTATAAATTAAATAACTTAACGCCGCTTAACTGAGGGATAACCTATTTGCTTCAATATCTCGTGCAGAAATAGACACTAGTTGTCTGCTCTCACTTGATAAGAAGTTCTACAATTGCTAAATAATTTGAAAACAATCATAGAAAACTGTAGGGGAAAGTCGGGTAGCCCCGGACGGCGGGTAACTCAGGAAACTTGATGTACAGCTTAAACTAAAGAAGCTATATGACCTTTAATACAATAATAACATTATTTGAGTGAAAATATGGCATACGCAAAATATCTATCATAATATGCCGAAGCAAATGACTGGGAGGGCAAGATTTTATTTACCACCACCAGAAGAGCGACGTACCATCATATTTGATTCACATATCAATATACCTAATTGTTATGTAAACTAATAACTTTTTAATGATTAAAGATGCATTTTTATTTACAATAGTTATTAATTCAATTCAATTCAATTCACTATATTCTGAAATAAGTTGTAAAATTTCAAGGACTTTTACAAATAGTACATGTACTAATCTAAAGTAAAAACCTGCAACATAAAAGTGATCATAATAACAATAATAATAGTATTGATAATATTTATAGAAATAATATTAACAATAATTATAAGATGACGATGAAGAGGAATATTATTAGTAACAATACTAACAATAATAATAAAAATATTATACAATCAATATTAGATAATAGCAATAATAGTGATAATAACAATTACATAGTATAAGTAGTAAATAAACTTGAGAAAAAATTTAAAAAAGCAATATCAATACTTATTATGTTATAAATAAAAATAACAATTTACTAATAAAGATAGAAGAATATTATTAATATCAATACTAACAATAACAACAAAAATATGAGAACAAAAAGGATTATTAAAAAAAAAAGTTCGTTTAAAACTTTAATTCCCTGATTTTAAAACTAGTATTTGTGAATGAGGTATGATCGGGTGGTATCGGACACATGATTGGAGGGTGGCTCCGGACAACTTATTTCGTTTACATAATAATAATAAACAACTTTTTTTTATATAAATACTAACACATTTAATATAATGCACAAATCTATAATAGTAACTCATTTAAATCCAATAAAAAAACATTAAATTTGAAAAAAGTGTTTTTAAAGGGTTTATTTCCATTATAAAAAAACCTATCTTTATATTTTTAAATGATGACATTTTCATTCTCATTCCTTATATATTGGTGGCAATTTTTAAAGGGGATTTTTTTTAAAAAGTGTCGAGAACAGTCCAATGCTAAATTATTATATATTACATTTGTGTCACACTGGTAAAAAAAGAGGTAAAATCATGTTTAAACTATGTGTCCGGAGCTACCCTCCAATTTTGAAACATGCCGTTTTTCTAACATTTTTTCTTTTATGTTTTGTATATTATTAAGATACACAATAATTATTTTTTTGTTTTTAATTCGATAGATGAATGTTTGAACTTTTAAAAAAAGTCTTTTGACACTATTTTATGTTAGCACATGTGTACAATCTATATTTTCCTGAAATGTCCGGGGCTACCCTACTCTCCCCTAACTCTAATGGAGTTGATATATTTAACACTGAAACAGTGAATCGAGTATTCGATATAATTCAATTTTTTTTTTCAACCGCAATACTTTCGTAACCATAAGAGTGTCGTATTTTTTTGGAATCAAATAATAATTTGCAGTATAAATCATTTGAATGTGGAGTCAAATCTATAAAAAAAAACGCTCTAAAATAATATAATTGACATAATGAATAGATAGGCGCTTTTTAAATACTCATGAGATCTATAGTCTATACATATGAAAAAACATTGCATTTCAATAATAATTTTTTTAAACTACATTTATAGTTTGAAAAAAAAAGCAACTGCAATTTTTTTTTCAATGGATAACTTGTTAGCAATAAAAAAAATACAAAATTTTTACAAATAAAAAGTATTCTGTTGAAATAAGTATTTTCAAATAACTAGAGAATCAATGAAATATAAAATTTCAAAACTTTGGAATGTCCCATGCACGGCCGTCACAAAAGCATATTTTGAAACCCTACTCAATGCAACGAAGGTATAGAACAAACCAACTCTTAAAAAAAAAAGTCGATAATTTTAAACAATGCCGATTGGTTGTCAGTGGCTAACCGAACAAATTCTTATTTTTTGGTATTTAATAAATGCAAACAAAGAAATTGTAAATAATGACAAAATATTATAAACAACCGAAGCGTATGTTATAACATTTTTGCAGGAGATATATTAATATAATTATAAAGAATAGAATGAGTTATATAAAATATATATCATTTTGCGGAGCTAACAACAAAAAGTATTTATCTTAATACATTACTGAAGCCATAATAGCTATCTGTATCGACTTAATGTTTAAAGATAAAATTGTTTTTATAAAAATAAGTTAAAAGTAACTTATGTTACTTTTAAATTATTGTTACAAAAATAAAAGAAACCAAATGTCTATTAAAGTTTACTGCTAATATAAAAACGAAACGATTTTGAAAATGAAAGTAACTTGTTTATCAAGTTTACAACTTCTGTTTTTTTTTAATTATTTACGTCTTCTGAATGGAATAAATTATTTTTTCAAGATGGCCAAATAAGTCCACAGTATTTCAAAAAATGATACTAAATACCATAAACAGTTTTTTGAATGGGGCTAAAAGTTATGATTATTTATGAAAAAACGATTTTTGTAAAAAAAATTAACACTAACATAGTTTATCTGAATCTATCGTGAAATTATTGTCAAACATACTTATTTAGTTGAGGTATTGAAAATAATAACTTCAATTTTCATAAAAAAAAGGTTTTTCATGGATAATTTTCCCAAATAGTGTCTGATCATAAATGTCAAGTA